TTTTTTTTTCTTTACACTGTATCGTCGTTTCGACGACAGTACTGGGGAGCAAGCTGACGCAGTTGGTCCGTGAACCGCCGCTCTTCCTCCGCCCTGGCAACTACGTGCTCATTCCAGAGCCGTGTGTGCCCCTCGTCTTCCTCCGTTTCGGAGTGCCACGCTGGAGAGGTCTGCTGAAGGATGCTGCGGTACTCATCCAACGTCACACAATATATTGGCTCACGCCGTAGTATGGATGGGTCCACCGCCAGCTTTGGGTCCAGATTATTCTGCAAAGTGAATGAAGGCAACAACGTTTCTTCCAGTCCACGCATGCTATTGGAAAGAACCCGCCGACTCCGAAAGAGCTCTAACTCTTTTACGGTTGAGTCTTCATTTAAGACATGGCTCGCTCTCTGATTAGGGCGATGCTTTTCCAACTCCAGCTGAGCAATAAGTAGCTGCTGCTGCAGTTGCTCATTCATTTGAATCAGCTGTTGACTCACTGCGGAGACCGAGTCACCAGATGTGGAAATCGTAGGGGAAATCGATGGATGAGTAGTTTTCAGCAGCTGAGCCATTGTATTAAACGGGTGACGCTCCAAGCATTCGTTGACTGCCTCGCAATGTCCACTGTGGCACACTTCAAGGTCAACGACAGAACCGCTACGCAAAAACTCAACTCGTCTAATATTCTCAACAGGCACGGACGCCGCGCGGTGAACTTCCATCACAAATACGTCCTCCACCAGCTGGGGGCACTGACTGACAAGAGAAGACCAAGCTTCACCAAGCGTGCAACGATGCCGAGTCCACGTAAGTAAAGAGGAACCTGTTCTACTGCTCATAGCAACAGAGTCATTTTGTCGAATAGAGTCATCGCGAACGGACGCAGCCCTCCCCATAGGGGACCCAGAAGAAGCACCAACCTCCGCTGCCAAACTCCCATCAGCCGACCCAGCAACATCACAGAACGTTGGTCGAACCCTACATGGACTTCTCCGTCCGCTCCTAATTGGTTCTGGCAGACAGGAAAACGACGCACGACGCGACTCATCTTGACGCGCCCGAGCCCGAAGAAACTCCACCTCCTTTGACGTCAATTGAAGCCTACGAAGAGCATCGTCACGCTCCGACTCGGCCTTTTTAAGGGACTCGGCAAACATACTCTGCTGCTCTGCAGTAGTGCGAATGGGCGACCCGCTTCCCTGAGGAGAGACCGAGTGTAAACTATTAGGTGACCTACTTGAAGCCCGTCGCAAGGAGATGGTCGGCCGTTGGGTCAGTTGCTGAAGCTTCTGCAGCGCCTCGTCACGCTCGGCTTCCGCGTCCCTCGCAACACCTGCAAGCGCCTCGTACTCCTCTGCTGTAATGCAGTACAGAGGTGGATGATCGGCCCGCGGGGACACCGACCGGGGTCTCTGGCTGGCCCTGTCCGAGATCCTGCCTCCTGACGCCAGGCCAGAAATTCTCGCCCGTTGTGCCTCAGCCCGCCGCTGCACTTCGCTCTGGTTCTCGAGCTCCGTTGCCGTTGCCTGGAGCTTCTGCAGCGCCTCGTCACGCTCCGCCTCGGCCTTTTTAAGGGATTCAGCCAATATACTCTGCTGCTCTGCAGTCGCA